ATATAACCTTGAGGAGAAGTACCGGTGGCAACAACATTTCCATAAACCTCTAAAGTAAAGGTGTAGGTCACTTGTCTTGTAATGCAAAAAGTCAATGCTGGAGGAACCAAATAATGTCTTCTTTCAACGCTAAGCGTTTGTGTTACTAAACTCACATTTTTAATTTGAGAAATTAAATTATTAAGAAAAACAGCTAAAATAGCAAGAGCTACTAGACCGCGAGCTACGTTTACAATCAATGCTCTACTATCCATTTATGTCAGAATTTATGTCAGGAAGAAAGAACTGTCATTAAATAAATTTAACACCAAAAATGGAGTTTATATAATTTCCTGCAAGTAATTTAATCGTAGGACTGTACGTAGCATCTTGTGAACAAAACAAAAATATTTAAGCTTGCATTTGTATAATCCTTTAATAAAATGTCTTATTATTTTTTTGATGAATAATGGTAAATAAAATGCGAATATCCAATCACAATTTATAAATTTTATTACAAGAGTTGTACTAAAGATGAAATGCGTTTCCAACACCTCAAAGAAGACATATGCACACAGTTACACAGTGCAACATATGACAATTAATTTCTAGTGATAAGTGAAAAAAAAACGAGTTAAACAGTCAAATAAATAATCTGCAAGAGATTAACATCTTGATTTTGTATATGTACTAAAAAATTTTAATTAGTTTTATGAGTAATTAAGGCAAATTATAGTTTTTTGTTTACTTTTTGCTTTCATATTTTAAAGAATTCAATCGGTTTGTTAATATAATAGCGATTGCACTTTATATAATACTTAAGGCCACATAAAATTTATGAATTGGCTCTCATAACCCGGCCGGGTCAAAGTTTGAAAACTTTTAAAAAAATTTTTTATGCTTTACAGTTGTTTTCATTCAATCTGGGACAGCTGGTAAAAAATTGACCGAATAATTATATACCGACTCGTTAAATTTTTGATTCGACCTGATAAGCTTTTGATTTTGGACGTGATCAATTAGATCACATAACTTATCATTAACGAGTCAGTATACAATTATTCTGTCAATTTATCAGCTGTCCTAGAAGTTTTTTATAAAAAAATTTTATAAAAATTTTATATATGAAATTTGAAAAAAAATCCATATATCGGTATTATTTGACTACTGTATACATTCTTTCCCAATGAAATTATATATGTAGGAATTATGCGTTTGATCGGACGCATACGTAGCATCTCATATTTAATCAGGAGGATTAGAACATAAAATTACAGTCTGGAATGAAGGAAAAGCAAATCATTATTTTTGTTACTTTATGATAGGTGACGAGACCCCATTTTTAACTGAAACAATCTGTGCTTTATACATTTTATTATCTTAAGAGATATGACATGTTAAAAGCTTTTTATCACATCCTCTTATGCAAACTAAAATTGTAAAGATTTTCCCAGCAGGTAGATACGCAGCCAAGTTAAAAGATAAATCAATAATGTTCATCAACATACAAATAAATGCAATGCAATAATAATACTCAACATACAAATAAAGCGGTTGTCCCGATGGTACGTATCTTGTACGTACTGTAATATGAATTAACAATATTATATAACAGGTCAATAATTCAACTTCTGAAACGAGGGGGTGGGGGTAATAAATGAATATTATTGGAAAAACATTAAAAAAATTTTCTTAACTTTCGAAGGAACATTTCGAACCTATACGTATCATAAATTTTGCCTCAATGCTGGCCAAAGTTACATAGAGGTGCATAAATCATAACGCCCACCGAGATCATATAGAATTCTAAACTTTGATTGGCTCAGTATGCTTATTTAATTTTTGAACAACCTAAATGGTAATAATGTCATAAATTTATTGACGAAAGGTGTTCTCAAGTAGCATACAGGTAAAATGATATCAGGGTATCCCTATTGCTGCCAGATTTTAGCTTCAAAAGAGGCCTCAATAGGCATCAATCAGAATAGTATTAATACTACGTATTCTGATTGATGCCTATTGAGACCTCTTTTGAAGCTAAAATCTGGCAGCAATAGGGATACCCTATTGGATATCATTTTACTTGTGATACAGTAATAGTGCACAACAGTTATAGTAAAATTTAAATAGATGGTCTATAAAACGAATTAACTTGTGATTGTGTTTATGTTCATTACGGCGCATATATGAAATTTGGGCATTAGTAAGTGCGTCATTCATTATTATTCTTATTGTAAATCATATAATAAACGCTAACCATTTTCAAGTTTGAAAATAGGGTTGACGTTTACAATAATGAATGACGCACTTACTATGTTGGGCTAATGCCCAAATTTCATAAACGTTCAAGGAACTCTGGCCAATTTAGTCAGGGCCGTTGACATGAAAGATGGGTGTATTTATTTAGAGAACAGTAAATTATTATTAAAGAGAGACTTTATTGATTAATGTTTTATTTACATCGTTCATTATCCTACGGGTGATTTTTTATATACATGTTGGGTGGGAAAATCAGTATGAGAGAAATGTAGTAATAGATATGTAACGGAAATGTGATAATCGAGCAGTAAAGAAATAATATATATATATATATATATATATAATAAAAATGAAGTAATAATTTTTACATAAGAATATACAAAATTGGTTAATAAAATATATATATAAGAATGACATAATAATTATAAAAAATATGAGATAATTTCGAATAACCAAAACTAGCCGTTAACATTTTTTCCTCTGCTCAAGATTGATCTTTGGTGAATCTGCATTCAATTAAAGATCGAAGCATTCAATATAATTAAATTATTTCCCTCACGATTTTTTTTTTTTTTGCACAAAATCGTAACAATTCATTACTCGATTTTTTTCACTATATAAATTATTGTGAGGTGAGATCGAAGTGAGTTTTTTGCTACTATCATCCAATTTCTGTGGTGCAGATTGACTTATTCCATCGATCCTAAGAATTGCACAAAAAATATGTGGCATTGGTCTGCATTAATGTAAATTTTATTTTTTAATTTTTATTCCAAATAGAAAATTTTAGAAAATAATGGTAAAATTATGCTACTTAGGATTATTTTTTTAGCGTAAATTATGTTAGGCAAATAATTGAAGATCTGTATTATATTTAAATTAAACATTGAATTTTTTTTTTTTATAATTAAAAATGATTAATATCAAAGTATACGATTAATTAATATATATGTAAGTTATATATAATATATATGCAAGAGTGATTATATATATATACCAAATACAGAAATACAAGTATAATAATTATTATAAATTTATTAATAATTATTAAAAAATTTAATATAATTTTATTTTCAAATTTTAGTAGTTAAATGTTTTACAATATAGTAATTGATATATAATCCCGTATGCAAAACTAATAAAATCTTATTGGCAATGTAAACCACCTTAAACACAAAAAAAAAAAAAAAAAAAAAAAAAAAAAAAAAAAACATAATAATAATTGATTGTTTTGCTTTTCTGACTTGTATTTTTTCAAAATTTAATTTCAAATCTTTATATTTAATTTTATCTGAAGTTAAGTTTAAATTTTTTTGATAATAAAGATATATTGATATAAGCTTTTAAATTAAATTTATTAAAAATCTCTTAACTTGTTACAAGTAAATGATAATAAAGTAAATATAAGTTTAGATAAAGTTATAAAGTTTAAAAATTTATATAATTCTAAATAATTTATTTTACAAAAATTTTTAAATTTTTTGTAAAATTTAATATTATTTAATAATAATATATACAAGTTAAAATAATTAGTATTTTATTATCAATATTATTTTTTAGTTTATTTACATATTTTAATTCTAATTTTAAAGATAAATTAATATATTTTTTTAAAAAAATTATAAATTAAAAACTAATTTTTACTTAATTAACAAGTTACTAAAAGTAAATATAATTATTGTTTGAAATATTCATACTTTAAATTATTAAACATTTGTTCAAATTTATTATTAAATAAAATATTAATAGTTTTTAATAGCTTATTAGCAAAAAAATTTAAATATTATTTTTAGAAAATTACTTCTTATCACTGCAAATGATTATTACTATAATATTATATATGTAAATTATTATCAATATAACAAAAATTAATTTCTTTTAGTTTAAAGTTAGAGTGAGGTTTAAAATTTTAGCAAAATATTAATTTATATAAAAAATTTAATAAGAAATTTTTTTAATTAGAACCAAAAGGTTATTTCATAAGTAAATTTTTGAGATATTAGTATTTTTTTAACTACCCAATATATTTTAACTAGAATAACTTCCTTATACTAATGAAAATCCAAACTTTTATCATAAATACTATCATAATATAAGAACTCTAAATACTTGGTCTACATTCAAATTCTTTAATAGTATTATTTTGATATCAAATGGGCTCTAATATTTAAAATCTTAAATTCTTTAAAAAACAATTCTCTAAAATACTCCTTTCATATTAAAATTTTAACAAATAACTTACCTACTATGCAAAATCTTAATATTCGCTATTCTTATCTATATACTACATCAAACTGTACACAATGTTTAAATACTAAAAACACCTTACATATTCTTATCTGCAAGAAAAATAACTCTAATATTTATCAATCACTTATTAACATTATTAATAATTCATTAACTTCACTCAAAATTACAACAATTACTACTTCAAATCTTTTAAATATTCTTTTACACTTTACTTTAAACTCTTCAAATCCCTAATACAATCACATTCTCTTTGCAATCTCTAGAACTTTTACACTTACAACAATTACTAATATCAAAACTTTAGTTCAAAAACAAACAGAACTACTTCTAATCAACTTATAAAATAATCTTCTAAACTGGTTTTATCAAGATATTTAGTCTCTACAAAATCAACATCAATATAAATAGGAATTAGCTTGAAATATTATTTCTAAAACCAAACATATTAAATTTTCCTATCTAACAACTCTACTAATTCCAAATACAAATATTACATCAAATCAAACAAATAACTTTGAACTTGAAATTAAAAATAGTTTTTACAAGGCTCTTCTCTATTAACTTCAACTTTATAATATTATGATTAACACCTTAGATCTTCTCCAACCTGTCTTAAACTAAAATTTAATTTGAAATAGTTAAATATAGTATTTATATAGGAAATAAAGAGAAGTAATATTACATTAGGTGTCTTGTTTAACTAAAAGTTAAATTTATGTAATACAAATGTAGTTTTGAAATCTTTAATATAAAACTTATGTTCTAA